CCGCGGTGCCCGGGCAGGCGGGCTGGCGTGACCCCGTGCTTGCGAGCACCAGCGCGGTCTCTGTGTCTGGGTGGTGGCTTACAGGGGAGTCAAGCGAACTGCTTTTGTCAGTTCCGGGGATGGAAGGACCTTAATGAACTAAGTTTAGTTAGTTTAGCACCTTTTTCATCAATAGTTTCCTTAGATTTTTCCATTGGCAACGTATTTTTTTTTTTTTTTTTTTTCGCGGAGTCTGTGACAGCAGGCTTACTGGGATGGCGTATCTGACTGTGAAACGCACCAGGTGTAGAATACATAATAACCACATCAAGAGCATGTTGCCCACAAGACACAATGTGCTGGTGCAAACTTGTGCCAACGGAACCGTTTTTCAACTGTTCTACTTATTTTTTCTGTCCCATAAGGAAACTGTCACAGAAAACTTCCATCAAGTTAAGTATGTATGATGCAGAGGGCTGTCGTTTTGCAAACAGCTAAACAGCTGCTACTGCCAGCAAAAAGTGGTGGTCTTTGCTCTTGCTTTTAGCTTCATAGTCCTTTACCAGAGCTGCACAGGGGAATTGGGCTCCTGGGATACTTTACTGAGCTGCTTTAACTAGACTAATGAGTTCGGTTTGGTTTTGGCCAAGTTAGTCACCTAAAGCAGCTCATGGAGCTTTGGAGCCACCCCGAGGTAAGTGGCATGAGCGGATGGCTAACAGCAGTGTTTGGCAGGGGAGATGAATGCAAATAAAGAGAACTGCCCTCATCTTTTGGAAAAGAAACCCTTTATTTATGCTAAATTGAGGGTTACCAACAGCATAAAACTGACATAAAAGCATATATCTGTATATTCCCATGAACCTGACATCTGTGAGGTAGCATACTAATGCCTAATTTGGATGAAATCTATACCATCAGCCCCTTATTTGATACACAGATTGGTATTAATGGGAGGCATTATACCTTACTTGCATTTTTGAACTTCTCAGAAGTTCCACAAACCTCCAGCTTTAAGGCCTGATATCCTACCAGATTGTTATCCAGAAATGTAGTCAAGTGCTAGGTAAGGATTACTATGTAAAAGGTGTTGCTTTTTTCAAAGGGATGGAAATTCGTAAAAAGGTTTAAATGGGGAAGTTTTGGTGGTGTTTTTCTTGACTTCTGTGTCCAAAAGTAGGTTATTGTTTTTTTTCTACTAGTGAACTTGTTTTTCTTTTGAGATTACTAAGCTTAGTTTTAAGGAGATGATATTTTAATGGCTTAATTTTTAAACTGGAGTAAATATAACTAGGAAGTTCATAATTCATAAAACTTTTGTTACGTGAGGAATGAAGGTTCATAGCTGATTGCCAACCTGCTTATGGTATTCTTTGTAGAGGGTAAGTTTGGTGAATTGGTAATCTTTGTGAATACGTATGAAAATACTTGCTGTGTCTCTGTTAATGTCCAGTCTCTTTGTCTAATGTGGTTTAGTGTGGCAAGGTCAGATATTCCTGCAAATGTGGATTTGTAATAAAGTTTTCCAAAACTTTGTGTTTATTCATACTGTAGAAGAATGTAAGTATCTTCTTTATACTGCTACTTAAAAACATTTCAGGGAGAAATCTTGTAAGTTGTGGGGGAACTACAAACAGTTTTATCAGAATGGTTGGAGCATCTTGTACAAGACAGCACTAGAGGCTTTTCTTTTTATGCAAACTTGAGAAATAATAATGAAAATGGTTGCTAGCAGACAGCTGTAGTGCTGGTGTTCCAATCTGATTTGTGTCTTTGGAGATGGCTAACACATACTTTGCTGAAATGGAATGTAGCGCAGTTTAGGTACAGAAAAATACAGATTTTTGTTAGCAGGAAAAAGTCTATAGGCTCTTTGTATAACTTGGACCACTGTGGTGGCAAGACCTGTCACTCAAAAGTGGGGCTGCATAATTTCTGGAGCGCAGGTTTTATTTTGTAATGTTGATTAGATTTTTGACAAAAATATTGCAAAGAAAGTACAGAAAACAGATGAGGGAAATATGTCATAAGAATAATAATATATGTAATGCATGAAAGAGAAATAATGAGAAAGGCTAATCATGTGTTTTGTTTTGTCTTAGAAAAAATCTAGAAGATTTCACTGGACCTAGAGAAAGAAGTGATCTGGGATTTGTCACGTTTGACATTACTGCAGATATCCTTAATGGAAAAAGTGGCTTGCAAGCATTTTGAAATAATATCTTGACATCTGTTTTAGTTACTTATAATCTTCAGATACTCAAGACTTAAAAAAACCTAGCAATTTGTCTTAAAATATAAAGCAGTGAAAAGCAGTGTTTTACATAACTACAGTAGTAAAATGGAACTTGGAATAGCTGTTCCGCCTCTAGTAGATGCCATAGGGCAAGTTGTTTTCTCTGGGTTTAATGCCTGTTTTTAAAATCATGCTCTGAGTCAAGTGCCCTGTATGTAATAGTGAGAAGTGGAGTTTAACATCTGGACAGTATTATCATTAAGTGAAGTTTCTATTAGTGGTTTGAGGTATATATTAATTATAGGGTTTATATAACATACGATTTTCACCGTCATCCTGAATCTAGAAATTCTGATGCACCTTTCAAACTTATTTTGTTGTTGGGCTTTCAAAGTTCTGGCCACATAATAGTTGCATACAAGTACCTGTCTTGTATTTCTCTGCTTTCCTGCTAGTCTGGTTTTTATTGGGGAAAGTGTGTTGTGTGGGGGTGTTTGGTTTTGGTTGGCTTTTTGACAGTAGAAGGGAATCATTCTTAGGATTTAGGGTCTTGACATAATAAATAGTTGTGTGTTTTTCTGCAGAAGTCGGTACCAAATAGAAGGCAACATGCTTTGCCTCAGGTAATTACACTAAGCCTTGCTTTGCAGCTGGGCTGAGATTCCTGAGATTTTTCCTGCCTGCTGTTTTTTGTCACTCTGTTAGGCAAAGCATTACCTCTGTGTTTTGGTTTCCCTGTTTTGGAGAATACTACTTTGTGTAGGCAAACCAAACAAAATACAAATCTTGAGTACATGTGAATGCTGGATAAAAAGGTTAATCATATTTTTGCAGGTGTGTGTTCCACAGGAATAAGAGGGATGTTTTTCTATCAGCTGGAAGTAGGAGAGGTGAACTCCTAAGTCTGAGTTATACTTCTGAAATGCTTCTACATGCTAGAAATGGAGACTAAAATTCTAAAGCAGGTGAATCAAATTGTATGCAGCGCATATAAAGAGAGGCAGAGCAAGGCACTAAAACAAGCGTTCTTATACAAGGATTAGTCTGCAGTATGTAGACATAAAGATTCCATGTTTTAATGACTGTTAGTAGTAGCAGCAGTTTTAAAATTTGCTGGAGGAAAAACTGTCTTAATCGTTCATGCCTGGCATAAATAAACTGCAGTGTGTAGAGTTGTAAAACACAACTTTCTGGTAGGTGTTTTTTTGGACAGGAATCTTAGAGATACTGGTGCATGGGCTCTCTTAATTAAAGGAAACAAGTTGTTAGTTCTAGGAAGAATAATATAAAATGACAGCAAAAGAAACTAGGGAAAGGAAAGTGGAGGAGGCAGTTTTCACAAACTCTTTTTAACTTAGTAATTAACGGCTAACTGTAGCAGGCATTAAGAAATCCTTAGAGAGTCTTGTTTGTTGTTTTGAGTTAGGTGACAAAAAATGTTCAAGTAAAATAGCTCCAGCTATTCTTGCAGCAGCAGCAGTTAAATAATTAATTCTTTCTTTATTTGCCTTTTGAATTAGTGGCTTAAGAGCATGATTCAGTTTTTGGATAAGTGGAACAAGATAAAACAGATTTTTAAGGCTGGTTTGGGAATCTGTTTAATTTGTTCTTTGAGATAGTTGCAAATAAAAAAAAAAGGATTAGGAATTAAAAGGTTACAGCTAATCTTTATTGTGAGTTAAAAAGTCTTTTCTTTAGCAGTAACACACTATATTGTTAGACAAACAGACAAGTATTTAGAATATCAGCTTTATTACATAGTCAGTCTCAAATGGCAGTCATCAGTTCTTTATTGTTGATCAAAAATCTGGGCAAAGTTTTGTTCCAGTCTAGTAAGCTGATTTTCCTTGTAGTATGTAGGTAGTTAAATTTGCTAACTCCTGATGTCCCTTCCAATATGAAAGTACTTCCCTCCTACTAACTTCTCCGTCGTTGATGTTGTAGGGTCTTTTAACTCTCTACTCTCTGACAATTTTTTTTTTATATATTGTTTAATGCTGTTATATCTTGATACACAGTTGAATGCCAGGGTTCCTTGATAGAAATAATCTCTTTGAAGATATTTGCTGAAGAATTCTTTCTTGCCTTTTATGTTTATGATTTTATAATAGATTGCCTAGCAGCAGATTATGGTTACTAGCTTACAATGTCAAATATAGAACTCTTAAATCATTGGAGGAAATAGCTGTCAGATTTCATAAATAGTAAAATAAAAAAACCAAAGCCACCGTCAAACCAAAAATCTGTCCCTTTAATATGGTTAAAATATATGTTGGAGCTCCTGGAAGTGCTCTGTTAAGAAATAAGATGAGGTATGTTGAAAGATAAGAGCTCATTGCAATTATTGTAGTCTATTTAGATCTAGTAAAAATAAAACAAGGTTATGTAAGTACAATATGGTATTTTTCTTAACTCGCATACATCTGCAGAGTATATTTGACTGGAATGTTAAACAATTGTTTCTATATTTGTCTGCAGAATATTCAACGAAAAACAATGTAAGTATCAAAAAGAAAGTTGGAGCAATTACCCATTTTGTACTGCAGCTATTTTTAACATTCTGAAGTTATGCTGGGAAGAGTTAAGGCACCAGCATTTCCTACTAGCTTGGACTGTTTTTACTGGCCTTCATGATTGTTATTTTCTTGACAGTTTAGCTGTGGGGTGGGGAGGTCAGCCTCATGAAACCTAACATAACGTATGCCCACCAGAGTGGGAGAAAAGTAACACTTGTCTTCTTGTTCACTTACACTGGTGTGCTGTAAATGGATTTTTTCACTTATTTGCTCTGTCAGGTTTACTTTTCCCTAACATTCTGCAGTTGTCTACTGTTAGAAACAGTGGCTGTGGTCTTTTTTTTCATAGATCATGGAAGCATTTGCATGTACCAGTTACTGTAGCCCCAGAATATGTTTATTTTATCTCATCACACTTCTCATAATAATTGGCCTTGCTGCACCTTTTAAATTGGTTGCTACTTATGTTTCACTTCAGATCGCTGATCTGGTAAGACCTGTGTGCAACAGTGTACAAAAAAAATACTGCAATGAAACACCATGCTGCCACTGTACTACTGAATTCTAGTTAAAGCTACTACAGTCACATTGCGAAGATACAGTGAAGGCTTGTTTATTTCTTAACATGCTGCACAAAACTGTCTCCCTAGTTTTAAGTACCTTAGTTATTTTATATATGCTGGTAGATATTCTGTTTGTACTAAAATAGTGTTTAGGGTTCTTCATTAGGGTCTGGGATTGCACTGTCTTGTTTCATCTTTTAGACTTTTTTTCACATAAATCACTAGCTCTCACAAATACTGCAAATTTTTTTTTCCTAAATTATTATTTGTTGTTTCCATTTGTTCTGCGCCACACTTAGGTGTGTAGTAGTACTAGTGTTCCCCTCTGTAAAGCATTATTTTGTTAAATTAGTTGTGGATTATAAGCATGTACTTCAGGGTTTTTAGATTAATAATGCTATGAAATTCCATTGACTGAATATGATCTTGTATATGATCTTGTAAGGTACCTTGCTGACTTAATTATAATTGTATTTTTAGGCTCTAAATCAGGTGGTGCTTTGGGACAAGGTCATGTTGAGAGGAGATAATCCAAAGCTGTTCTTAAAAGATATGAAGTCAAAGTACTTTTTTTTTGATGATGGAAATGGTCTCAAGTAAGTAAATCCTGGTTTTACCGTTATTACTATTATTCATGGTGTCTTGATGCGCTTGCATTAATTGCATTTTAGTTTCTTGCTGTGGTAAGGTACTGATATTCTGTCTGATACTTTGTCAGTCTGTTGCATCTTTGTAGCTTGATTGTTAAAAGATAATCTGTAAAGAGATAAAGGGATACAAGATACTCTGTTTCTTCTGTAGACTAGAAGATACACTGCTAATAATGTGCAATAGGCTTCTGGGTTTCTGTTTCCATTATTGGTGTCTGTGTAGAACTAGTTCTGTGATACACTCGACTGCAAAGGAGCTAGGTAACAGTAACTACAACAAAACAAAGTCTTTCCTGGAAAATAGGTAATACTTCATGAAGTAACTACATAAATTAAGTCCATTGTTTCTGGATCAGGAAAACAATTTGTATGCTAATTTAATATTAGTGATGATAAATTAAATTGGTTAACTTGAGTATTTGTGCTGATGGTCTTCGTTGCTTTTGCAGGGGTAACAGGAACGTCACTTTGACTCTCTCCTGGAATGTTGTACCAAATGCTGGCATTCTACCTCTTGTAACAGGATCAGGACATGTGTCTGTACCTTTCCCAGATACCTATGAAACAACAAAAAGTTATTAAATTATAGTACTGAATCCTAAGCAAGATATTTTTATAATTGTATATTGTGAATAAATTTTATTGCGGTTTCTTCTCATACCCCATGCAACCCTTCAGTGAAAGGTACCTAATTTCCTCAGGCCTAACAGCATAGGAAAAGGAAATGAAAGTTCAGCGTTGTTTTTTGTTTGTTTTGTTTTGTTTGTTTTGTTTTTTAATAAAACATTGAAGCTGAAACTTAAGGGTAAGGTAAATTGCAGAGTAATGGTTTTGGGGGGAAACTGAGGAACTGGTTTTTTTTTTTTCTCCTGGCCATTTGGGTATTGACCTCCTTTTCTTTTAAATAAACATTTTTAAACCAGAAGATAGTCTTACTGTGGGTTTTTTTGAGTTACTGAGGTAGTTATTTTAATCTGTGTAGAAGTCAAATACACCTTTTGGAGTCAGTTTCTGTGAGTGCCTGAAGGAAATGTCTATTCTGTTTTACAGCATTTTGCTTAGGGTGTTACAGTAAGGTATTTTTGGTCCTTTTAGGACTGCCAGCAGCTACTTTGAAAACTACAGACTGACTGACAGATAATGAACCATCACATTGTGTTTTGAGAGCCATTGATGTAGCCCACATTCAATTCTGTATTATAAAACATTTTAATAGCTGCTTATAAAGCAGCTAACAGGAAGAATAAAAAGAATTTTTTTCAGTGTATTAAGTGTAAGTCAGTAAGAAGAGTAAAAGCTTTAGGGAA